TAAAACATCTTCAGTGACATCAGTAAGATAAAACCCTTCATCTTGAACAAAGAAATTTTCTTCAGAATGGATGTACTGTTAAACAAAAACAATAAGATAAAGTTTTAAAGCACATTTTAAAAAATTCCCTCATTATGGGTGCAATTTTGGAAACACAAAATAATGTAATTTCAGAATTAAAATACAAGTGTTTATTCAAAGAATTAAGAGATAATGTAAGAGGTTATATAGCCTCTTACATAATAACATCTTAATTATATAATTATTATTATATAGTCACTACATGAGACAGGTGGCTATATAAACATGATAAATAAAGTAAAATAAATAAATAGGGTGAGACCCCATATTAGTTAGCATAAGGCCAACAAACGTGAACATCATCTACGCACATTCTTCTACCTTAAATCTCTTAAAGCAAAAATCAAGAATTTCATGAAATTTGGCTCTAATTGTACAAAATATATTTGGAAATATACACACTCTCATTAATAAAGAATTCAACCAGGATCAGCTACTAAGGCAAGAGATTGCCTCACGGACTACTGAATTTGTTATTGTTTACTCTTGATTTCTTATTGAAATGATTTTACACACAGGGAAAATAAATACAATTTCTTTTTAAATGATACTATGGCAATGCTTTACTTACAGGGAAAAATCTAGAAGTTGGACTTTAACAGTACTATTAATCCAGAGAACATTACATTGGTAAATCAGTTTACTGAGATTGGGAACTTAATGTTTATCATTCCCCAAAAGTACAAATTAATAATTGCTAAAGGTAACCAGCTAATAAAAGTACTGCTTGAGTTACCTCTGATTTATTGTTCCAATTCTATCACACAGAGAGATAGAAATGTCCAAATATACCTAGACTTATACTAAGTGCTTTGTGAAGTAAAACTAAAAAATCTCTTTAAAATATGGAAAGCATTTTAGCCAAAGATGTTTTGTCAGAAATAAGCAAGAAACCTAACAACCACTGGAAAATTAACAATACAATTTAAAAGTTAGTATGTTCTTAGCTTAGTAAGGCTGATATGTGATTTCTGATTTTCTCTAAAACAAAACCACTTGTATTACAAGTACCTAAACAGATATTCTGTATGGTTAATATTCTTACCACAAACACAGGGTTTAGCTACCTTCGTTTACTCAATTACATATTAAAAATGTGTAATTTGACTAGTAGAACAAAAATGACAGAAGATGATTAGAGTACATCTGGAACATTGCCTTGTTTGGCAGAACATTCCTAGATAGCATGACTTTAAAAAAGGATACAAAAAAGGAAAAACATGTGAAGGCAGATTTTAGTAATGTTATGCATTTCTGTAACTAAAATACTTTAAAAGTTAAAATGTGATATTCTTGAATGTTACAAATAAAACACAATACTCTAAAGCAATGCAAGGAATCTAGGAGGGGAAACAGATACAGATGATTAGGTAATTAATGTGCATTTTATTTACTGAGGTTAATACCTTTTAATTTAATATAAAATTCTGAACTGGAATTTTAAAGCTTAATATTAAAATCTGAAACTTTTAACTTTGCTTTATGGATAATCAATAAAATAGGTATTGACTTCCTAAAATAGTGTATCATTATAACTACACTCGTGTGCTCTCCAGAGTTAACTGTTCTGTCAAGACTACTAATTCTTATCATTTAATCATCATCATATCATTATATTACAGGATGTTTCTTACCCTAATTTTATACACAAAATCCAACAATTCAGCCTTAATTATCAATACACCCAAGATCTTAGAAATAATTCCAGAAAGTGCAGGTAAGAACAACCTGATAAGCAATGAAATTTTTAATGTGGAGCTTTACCAGGTTTTGAATTCAAGAGCAAAAAGATACTTAAGGTCATCTGCACATATAGTACTTGTCTACAATTCCTTAAACGAAGCATGCATTTTCTTGGGATTGCATGACTAGTCTAAAATGCATTTGGCTTAAGTCACTGCAGACAGATGTTATGTGCTCATACCCATGCACTCCAAATCAGCTTTTTTCCTTTGAATCTGCCTAGCCCTATTTTTTGATTACTAATATGCAAGACACAAGGAAGCATGGTAAATTTTTACCCAGTCCATAATTGTAAGGCAACGACTATAATATTGTATAACCACCATAAACAACCATATAATCATAGTATCTATCCAGCAACTTCAATCTTGCAGGGTTGGCACGCTCTGGGGTCCTTTGATTGAAGAATGCCATCTATCGGGAACAGGAAAGCACACCACTGTAGCAGTGCCTGCCCTTTGGAATAGGCCCCCACTCTACTGTTATTCAAAAGGGTGGTGAAATCCTGACTCTTCACCTAGGTTGTTGGCGAAGGAGAGTGAGACTCCTTGTTTCATTCCATCTGAGCTGTCGTGCTTGCCATCTTTTATTGATTTTATTGTAATTTGTTTGATTGTTGTAAGCCACCCAGAGTTGGGATTTGGGTGGCATACAAGTTTAATAAATTATTATTATTATATTTATAGCTCTAAAGGCTATCTAGACAAGGTGTACTAATGGCAAATATAATACTATAGTCTCAACTAAAGGTTTGTACAAATAAAAAAATGTATTATTTGGAGCTGTACCCTGAAAGTTCCATTAAACCAGCTGGAATTTGCCACAGTTTAACAGAACAAAACTCAAACTGTTCTGAATAGCCTGCATTTCACTGAAACAAAACTCAACATTCCAGTGTTTTGACCGCGGAAACTAGCAGAGGAACAAGCCTCCTAGTCTGAAAAACTTTGGACAACCACTATTATGACAGCAAAGAAATACTGAAAACTAACTCTTTGCTATTATATAGAGATCATAGTAAAGTCCTGCAACAATGCTCTGAGTTTTTCTTCATTCAGATAAACAGGACATGGGAGATTGTGCCTCCTGTAGCCTGTATCTCTTTTTGATGCATATAGTTCACCTGACATATTCTCAACTTACCCACAAAGCTCCAAATTTCTCTGCCCTACACAGCACTCTCCCCTGTTTAGACTGCACAGGTCTCCAATAATCATTAGTCACATGGTGGTCACATAGTCAATATCTACCTCCCTTCCTCTTACAAACATGGGTGGGGAGAAGTGTGGTCCACAACCAAGATTAAAGTTAATGCCTTTTACCTGTCATTTCCCTTGGACTACCACTAGATATTTAATAGCAATCTCTTGGCAATCTTGTGAACCAAATGCAACCATAATAGAAAATGCAGACTAAATTCTCAGCAACATTAATACCTCTAGTGATTTAACCCTCACTTCAAATCTCAGCAATATATTCTTCTGGACTCTAGTGGTTTGATATATTTAGATGACTGGTTCTACCTCAATATAATCTACCAATTGCAGCTTCTCCAGGTTTCAGGCAGGAATCTTTCCAAACCACACTTCCTACATGTAAAGATTGTGCATCACTGGGTTACCATTCTTTCTATAAAATACAAGGAATTTAGCTGCATACTTTTAGTTGCCAAAACCTCAGCCACACTATTTGCAAATATACAGAAACATGAGTATCTGACCAGCAGACTTCCTTTTGAACAAAGGAGATGCTCCCATATCTTTCTGACAAGATGCAAGATTTTAGCATTTATCTGAGTTTTGCCCAAGTGCTACGTAAATATGATTTGAAAACATTTAAACATATCTAAAAGTTCTAAATACACTAAAAGTGATATTAGGATCGGACACCAAGAATATACAAATTATCCCTATATTTTCTGTTCCCAAACAGAACAGCAAACATTTATCTGCTGGATGTTCTTTGCCTTAAAACTCTGTATAATCAGTGTCATATACAAGAGTCTTCATTATTTCTACTTTTATTTATTACCTCAGAAATAGATATGTTCATGTGAAGGATTTACATAAGTTAATGAACAACATATACAAATAAACTTTCAAAAAGTGCACTCCAGTTTACAGCAGATGCCTTCGGTTCTATATCATAAACTCAATTTTCTATTTAGTGTACTAGCTGATTCCCAACTTTTTATCTAAGGACATTAGGTAATCAAAGCTCATCCTGACATCTCTTACACTAGCTTGCTGGAGCTAGTATAACACTGTGATGTAGGTGCTTATGTCAGACCCAGCCCTTCTGTTGTAACTTCAATTAATCAAGAAGCCAAATTAAATGCCAAAAGTTGACATTATATGCAAGATAGCAAACAGCTTTTTGGATGGCACTGAAGTCAGCTCATTTAGTATAATCACCCAATTGCTCTTGCTATCAATATAGGAGTCTCTTGTTTAGCAAGAACCTTTTAACAAACATTCTGCAAATATCAACTCTATCCTTCCCATAACTTAAAGGGTAACACTGGGATATGATGGCTTAACAAAATTTGACAACAACTTAGGATGCTTTGGAGGGACTGCTAGTGTATGTCTCCAAAGCACTGGAAAAATATGTGGCTCGATTTTAATCAAGACTTATTTTACACATCAGTAAATTCCAAAGCAACTACTCTTGGCATTTGTATTACAAATTCATTTGTCAGTGTTAAACAGCTGTCTTAACATAGAATGGTATGGTATAAACAAGTGTTTCACTGAGGGCACTATGAAGAAGGAGAAAAGAAGAATGAAATCAATCATTACCATTCACTGGCCACACATGCTTTACAAGTAGACCTGGAGGTTGCCTACCACCAGTACAAGTGGCAACTAACTAATGAGGGAGTAATAGGTATGTAATACTACCATTTAGATTAGATTGCATAACAATACTCATCTGAACTCTAATTTTTTGACAAATTGAAACTCAGAAACAACACTAAAACCTCGTAAGTAATTGCTTTATTCCAAATAGCATTAAGCTGGCATTACACTAGGACAGATTCCTGTCACTCAATATACTAAGAGTGGCTGGTTAGATAAGACAGACCACACAAGACTAGTATACAATGATTAGAAAAAAGAACCACATGAGATCAGCATCTTAAATAGTTATGTCAATCAGAAAAAAGTCTCTACCTTCACATTGGTTTCTTGGAAGGATCTTCCACCTTGTTTTTATCACATTTTCCAAGATCTGCAGGCCATAATACTGAAAATTGGAGAAGTGAAATATGTGAATATACTGGATAGTTAACAACAATTTTCAGGATTCTCATTCGAGCTGACATCATTCACACTTAATATTAAGATTATGTTGATTAAAAACAAATCTATCACCCATTTACTAGTTTTTCCCATGCATTTTCCTCATTTTTTTCCTTTGCTATTCTAAAGTCCTGCTGTTTGGTCATGATCACACCAGAAGGGAATGAATAAAAAATGTTTTGTGAAGCCAAATTAATTATCTTTGGGGGGAAAATCAGCAGTCAACAAAAAAGCATAGCCTAAATGACTGCTTATAAGTTCCAAATATACAACCAAGTTCAGCAACTTGGGTGTTTATGGGCTTTCTGTCACTTGAATTGTTAAGACTGGGGCTTAACATTAAATCCACTAACACTTTCAGAAAGATGTGCTTCCTAAAAATTAACTGGTGTGTTTCTTAAAGAACAGCAAGACAATTCAGGTTTATTTCAAGGTACAATAATCTCTCCCCTATAACAGCCATATCTATAGTTTCAATATTAACTTTTGTATTCAGTCAAAAGTTCACCATTTCCATATATACCTTGAGGTTGTTTTACCTTCCAGGTAAGCCTGCCAACACATGTTTTAAAGCAATGCATTTGTAGGGAATGAATATTCTTCAACCCATTTTATTCCTTTTATCTCAGTGTAAAAATGTTCAATATGACCTCTATCATAACTTGCAGAGAAATAGAAATATATTTAAAGAAATAGCACAGGAGAGGAGGAAAAGGGGTCAAAGAGTTGCTGATAGTGAGAAGATGGGAGGCAATACCTGAAAGGCAAACTTAGGCTTCAGTAATAAGATGGCTGGTCAAGATTTGGCCGAGAATAAAAGTTCTTCAAGACTGTTAGTGTCTATACAGAATAGGGTAATTTGAATTTCAGCCAGAGGTATCATGTAAGACCATTTTAAATGAATAGCACAATGTAGACTGTCCCAAACTACACTGTGCTTACTCCAAAAGTTTTTGAGACATGTTCTAGCTTTTCTTTCCCTCAAAGTTTATTGTCTAATTTCTTTCAGACTCCAGGGAAGTTTGTACAAAGTTAGCATTCACAAAAACATCTGCAATACTAATAAGCTATTCTACTTCCAGTGCAGAAGCTGGTGAAACATTTTTAATTTGTAGCTGTAATCTAAAGTACTGTAGTTATCTATGAATGCAGAGGAAAAACATTATCTATAGCAGTGGACTGTTGCTTGCTGTTTCTTCAGCAGGTCTCCATGCTAAGAAAAGAAAAAAAAAGAAAAAAGAAAAAAGAAAAAAGAAAAAAGAAGAGAAGAAAAGAGAAGAGAAGAGAAGAGAAGAGAAGAGAAGAGAAGAGAAGAGAAGAGAAGAGAAGAGAAGAGAAGAGAAAAATAGCTACATCTGAGACTGAACAGCAGGTTGCTTTCTTGGCAATCCGAAATGGTGCCAAAGAAACAGCAAGCAAATTTCTGGCAATATGCAAAGCTCTTGTTTCTTCTTCCTATCCCACAATGCACGTAACTTCTTTGTACTGCGGCCTAAATCTCAAATGAACAAACATTTCTATTGAACAGTGCTGGCATTCATGAAATAACAGCATCCAGAGCAGCCAATGCACCAGACATGAACAACAGAGTGTCATGACAAGACTTCACCTGTTACAATGACTCCCTCTAATCAAAACTGTACAATAGATACCAGTGCAAGTATCTTTCTTGCTTTAATATTAGTTCCACTTCTCTTAAGACTAACTGGTTTCCAGCATTAATTTCTGTCCATGGAGAGGGTACCCATCAGTGTAGCTGGTTACAGATCTAGGAGTTTCAGAAACAAGTTTTCGAATACTACCACAGGGATACACAAAAGGCTGAACAGTTTTTACAGCTCAAAATTAGCCACCTCATTGCCATCCTGCAGCAAGATGTTAGAGATACAGAATGGCAGGGAGCATTCCTTTCTTCTTTCTGATATAGAAAGACACTTATAATATCTCATGAGTAGAGTTCTGCCCCCCAAAACGTCACCCAATCCTCTAGGGCAGATGAGAGTGCACAGGTATGAGGCTATTGCCACATTACTCCATTCCACTGATACTACCCTGAACCTGCATAGCAGTTATGGGTACTTATGCATACAAAGCATGGGTACTTAGCTAAGGCATCTCCTCCAAGTATCTACAACTGATCACTCCAACATTATGGACTTATTTACAAGAACACTATACTATATGCCTTTTTCCAGCTGACATCATTAATGCAATTTTAGTTCAAATTATTCTGAAAAGCCCATAGCACCTTATTTTCATGTAGCTTGGAGGATGGTACTAGTCTCTTTCATTAAGCATATGTGCACATTTAGTTATAAATATGCAAACAGGCAAGCATTTTTTCTTTACTTTTGTTATGCAAGTGTTCACTCTTAGTTCTAAAAATTAACAGAACTCTGTTCTTTTGGCAAAAAACCAATGCATACAATCTCTTTTAAAAAGTTCTCATGACTACCTACAAAAATGTATGCACATAAGTATTGCTAGTATCCTCAAAGTATTTCTGATATTCACTACTGTATGTTTCTCCAGGTCTCAAAAACATTTTCAAAATAAATGATACAATGAAATTACAAAGGATGGGACAGAAGAGCAGATTGACAAAAAATGTATATCATGATTCCTGTGGCAGAAATTTTTTATGGGACACTTATTCAATGTACCAACCCATTCCCTCCCACCACCCAAGAAACCAAAACAAGGAAAAAAAGCAATTGATGAACAGAATTCAGTTAAAGGGAATCAAAAGGGTAGACCTTGTGGAGGCCTGCCGTCAAAGCCTAGCTGTGTCAGTTGCACAGGAAGACACCCCTTTTCTTCCTATTACAAGCAATCAACATAATGGAACATTATGATTAATATCAGGTAGTGTTAACAGCTTTAAGAAAAAAAATGACTGCATAAAAGCCAAATGTCATAGTGCATAAATTTAGCACCAAATCATTTGCAATTTATGTAAATTGAAGAATTCTTTACCTGTTGCTTTCTTTCTGTTCCTCTAATCATCTCATTTTTCACAAGACAAATTTGAGTTTTAAAAAATACTGTTGATAAATCAACTTAAACATTAGTAATGTCTGTGAGTATAAAAAGCAAAGTTTACCAGGCAAGCAAACAGGCAAACATGGTTACTTAAATTTAGTACTTTGAGGAAGTTCTTAACCTTGTCCTAAAATTTACGAAGCCTTTTTTAAAAAATAAGACTTTGATAAATATCATCCAAATTCTGTAGGAACTATTTGGAGCATGGCTGTACATTATCTAAAACAAGGTATAGCAAAGTATATGTGTGTGCACGCAAAGAACATGGCCATGCACATGTTTCTTCAGCTGTATGACAACCACTTTCACATGTTTGACAATTTATATTTAAACCTCTAAAATTTCTAGATCAAAAACAACTGCAGAAGGCTGAGAAATGTCCACTACAGCCAGCCACTATCCTGATGATATGGCTTAACTGAACTACAAGGAAGTATAAATTGTATCCAACTGAAGAAAGTATCTGGGGTGCCTAGCCTGTTTTAAACTATATGGAGTAATACCAATCTAAAAAAAAAAAATGAGGAACGTACTTGCCCTCAGTTATGTGCATATGACTTTCATCAATGTAAATGAAAGCCAAACACATTATCTAAAGACATGATACAGCTATAAAATGTTATAACACTCAAATCTGTTCACATTCAAACCATAATTTTTAACACAAATCCCATGTGACTCAGAAATTCTCAAGCCTTTTACAAGAAAAAGTAACCAATAACCTCATGGAAATACCATGTGATAGTATAGGGTTAAGTTAAAGAGATTTGCAGGAACAAGCAAAAAAATTAAACAAACACTAAATCTAAAAATTGAGATACCTTCCTCAAAGTCTGAATGGAAGAAAGAAAGAAATCAATTAAAATCATGTACTTACTTTGGTGTTCATATTCTGAGAGAATTCCAAAATAGTATCAACTCTTGTCCATGCATCAGGGTGTTCCTTTAAGTGAGTCAGGACCTCCTGTGCCATCCTTTGCTAAAAATCAGACACAAATAATAATTGCAAAAATAGCTCGCACAAGTGATTTGCAATAGCATTATCTGGATTTCAGATAGCTGAGACACATGGAATAGCTGTTCAGTTTCAAAAATCACAGATTTTAAGATAGAAGTTTATGCATTCTTCAGTTGCTCTAGTTAGTAACTAAAAGTTGCATCAAGAGACCAATATTGTCTTATACATTGGGGAAAAATTTTTATGTTTGATCATGTACACAGCTTTACTAAACCTCTGAAAACACCCTTCCTGACAAATAGACACATGATAGTTGGAAAATCTGGAAACATTTGTACATGTTTTTCAGACTGTATTTTCTGAGACCCAAGTGGTAAGAAAACTATTTTAAAAATTAAATTTGAAATACAGATTCTCCCTTCTATAGATCTTGAAAGCAAAACTATGCATATCTATGCATAACACATGTAACAGGATGCTTTCAAGGAAGATTCAAGCTATGAACCTACAATGTGAATAGAGGTGAAGTAAGGTTTTGCAGCATCCAATTTTAGAGCCTAACATCTAGAGACAGAGGTCCCAAGTACACAATATAAAAGCATGGATTGTCTCTTGGAGCTATAAATCCCAACTTATTGGATATTATTCTACCACTTGATTGAATAATGCAAAATGAATGTTTAAATGTTAATTCCTCCATTCCTATTCACCACCATAAATATAAAAGAAGGAAATAAACATTAACTGAGGAAAATTCTTCATTATTCCTGAACAGGAATAATGGTTCCAAATCATCAACTAGCAATTAAAAAAATTTTTTTTTATTTGTCTAAGGCCACGCAACTTCTCAATGGCTCTGGGAAGCATGCAGATTGAAAACCAAAGAAACAACAACAACAGAAAAAGTAAATGGTCATCCTGGTGAAACAGACATAAGAATCCTCACAAAGGTAGCCTACTGCCCATCCTAGCCCAAGCTTGGGAAAAAAGCCAGGCCTTCAAGGCTCTTTAAAGCAAAACTGGGGCCATTCAAATTTCAGGGTGGTACTGTTCCAGAGGGCATACAGTGCAACAGAGAAGAAACACTTCCTGGGTACATCAGATGTTTAATGAATGGTACCCTGAGCATGTGACTGTCGGATCTTATTGGACAGACAAAAACCACAGGAGAGAGATGGTTCTTCAAATATCTAGGCTCCATATATGAATGGCCCTGAGAACTAACCAGCACACTGAAGTGCATCTGGAAGCCTATTGGAAAGCAGTGCACTCACAAAGCAGAGGTGTTATATGGGTATACTGTGGCATTCCCATAACTGTTTGTGCCACCACACTTTGGAATAGTGGAAGCTTCCAAGTGATCTTCAAGAGCAGCTCCAAATAAAGTGCACTGCAATACCCACACATGAAGTAACCAAGACATGAGTGACTATAAGAAGGAAAAGGCGCAATTGGCACACAAAAATAAATCTCTGCAAAGGCTTTCCTGGCAACAGCTACCCCCTGCACTTCAAGCAGAAGCGGAGAATCCAGGAAAATCCCTGAATTGCACACCGGTTCCATCTGGGGAATTGCAATCCCATACAGACTAAGAAATGGAAGGTCCCTGGATCTGGGAGGTTCAGGTACCTATAAGAACTTGGTCAAGTCTGTCCTTTCCCATCTGGATTCCCACAGCTACTAGGGACTTGGACAAAACCTTGACAGCATTGTGCAGTCAGCCGGAGATCAAGATATACAGCTGAGTATCATCAGAGTACTGATGTCAGGCCCTGTGCTAACTGATGACCTCACCCAGTGACTTTATTTAGATGTTGAGCCCAGGACATCCTGCAGATCAAGAGCGCTGGACTTAATTTCTCCCCTTCTGTCAAGCTGAAGAGAAAGGAGAACCACCACAACACAGTGCCCCCCACTCCTAATCTCTGTAGTTGATTTCAGAAGGATACCATGATCTATTGTATCAAAGGCTGCTGAGGGATCAAAGACAGCCAGGATGGTTGCACCATTCCTTTCCAAGCTATGCCAGAGGTCATCTCAATTCTATGTCTTGCTAAACCTAATTGAAGAAAGGCCAGATAATCCAGAAATGGAGGAAACTGGGCAAAAGTTGTCCAGGACTATTGGGTCCAGCGATGATTTCTTGAGAAGGATCATTGCATCCTCCAAGGTGGATGGAGCTACCACTTCTCTCAGAGAGGAAGTCACCACCACATGGACCCAACCGTATCACTTTCCAGGAGGCTTTCATTAACCAAGAGGGACGGAGATCTAACAAACAGGTGGCCAGGTTAACTAACTCAACAATCATGTCCATTTCCTCAGGAGTTATAGGACCAAATTCTTCCCAGGTAAGCAAGCAAGACTCATTCACCCTGACTGGATCACACAGACAGTAAAATTAAAGGAACAATCACCAAAAGTTTAAGTGAGCTATTGGCCTTCCAGTTCAAGTACTGTGATGCACTCTGTACTGAAACCAAATTTGGGAGTAGCAGATTATATTTACAAATACTCTCTCTAAAGAATTAGCCATATTATCTGTGCTCTGTGATTCTACCATTATAGAATACTATTTATGCAATATTCCTGCTTCCTCAGGTCTCTTTATTACTTTACAAGTCAAGCTATAAGATCATTCTTAAAGAGAACTTGTTTCTTCCTCTACAGATCTGATTATGCTTAAATCTCATAACAGTTATCTAGTTTCCAATCATATACTCTACCTGGGCTCCTTCTCCATGATACAGGCAGTTCACCACATTATCCAACAGATTTATATCCAATTTCTGGTTGAAATCCAGCAGCTGCCGTGCTGCATGGTCTGCTAACATTGTCATAATTGCTGGCATAGATTACTGAAATTGTAAAGAGACAAATCAAGTTTAAAAAATTAAATTTAAATCTTTAAATATTCAACTAGATATTTTATAAAGATAATTACATTTTAAAGAACTGACAACTATGAAATGAAATAGCTGAAAGGACTGAATTAAATTCAAATATATAGAAAGAAAAGTGGGGTTTTTACTTAGCAGCTAGGTTGGCATAAAACACTAGACTGGCTAAACTAGGGTAGATAGTTTTTGGTTCAAGGCATTGTATGAACCAGGACAGAAGATTAAACCATAAAACAGATTGTTTGAACACTGTAAGTTGTGTGAACACAACTGGTGAACCCAGTTAACTGATGTGGGAAACTGAACTCTCTTCCATATTATGTTTATCTCTAAATAAAAATATATTATTCCAAAAAATTAAATCAATAAATATACCCAGAATTAAGTCTGAATTTTAGTAATCACTTTTAAAAATATTTATATTTACAAAGAATCAAACTAATTTTAAATGAAATGAAAGTACAACTTTTGAAAACTATAGAGGGAATTAACAAGCCTTTAATTTAATAGCTTCTCTGCTGTTACAGCTTCCCTAATTCATTCTCCACATTTTTATTTGCCTTCTCTGCAAGCATACTAAAAATGATCAGAAGCTGAAAAAGTGTTGCCTAAGAAACCCATGATTCTCCTGTTCCCAACTTTTAAAAGAATCCTATATATGGTCTATGCTAGCCTTACCCTATGCACAAGCAAGCCCTACCTAAGTTAAATAGGATTTTTTCCCAGATTAAATATGCATAATAGCTTTCCTCTGATGCCTACCAGACATATGGGTTACAATGCCCATTGCCTACTAAACTTGGTCACTGATTACAATGATTGAAGATGATAGAATTGTAGTCCAACAGATCTGGGGGATACTAGATTGGGAAGGGCGGTACATATGAGTAAGCCTTACTTGTGTTCCAGCAGATCATATTATTTTTGGAAATGATCCTATTAAAATTTTCTACTGGAATTCATAATAAAAAATGTGTAAAGAAATAGCTAAACAGATAATGATTATGCTGAGGTTGTTTTAATTTGGCAAAATAAGGCTGAAATTTCATTCATTCACTCTGGAAAAAGCTCTATTGAATTCAGTGGGTCTAAATTCCCCTAGGATTGAACTACAAATATCCATACAGAGCACTCTTATGGTAAATTATATAAACCTGAAAACTACTGAAAACAAAATTTAACCAAGTGCATGCCTCCAAATGTGACATGTTTAAGCATATCAGGTATAGTTCAATCTTCCCTGTGCTATTGGAAATGACACCTTTACTTGGTATGGCAGAGAACAATTTTCCTTATAGCACTGTTCAAAACAGAATTATATATTTTTTCAATATTTAATTGCACACTTTTCTCAGGAATTTAATTTCCTAGTTCCAAGTATCAACAAACACTCCTATTTCCATTCTTGGTTATATATTTCTTGAACAGTTTATATGCTCATACAAACATACTTTGTTGTTGGCACTTGCATGCAATTTCCACTGATACTTGCTTTTCCTTTAAGAAAAATCTATATCTTTTTGCTAACTTCACTACATCACAAGGAAGGATGGCTTATAAGCAGTCGCATGGAATGATTGCATTTTATAAACTTAATCAATGGAGTAGAAGCATTCTTACCACATGATCTCATTAAAATGACCTAGCTGCTTCTAACAGACAATACGAAAGGGCAAGGGTACATCAACTTTATACATACCTCACTACTATAAGAACTAGATGCTTTAGTTAAAGCTAATGCTGTAAGGTACCTATTTACTAATTGCAAAAGCTAGTGAAACTGAAAAATTTCCACTCTTAAAATTGCAAGCTTAAAAATTGTACTGATTAAAACAACTAGTTATAAATAATGTCTATCTGATTTATCTATAACACATATATACATATCAAATAATTTGGACAGGGAATACTCTACTACTTGAAACATATTTGGACAACCATCCTCCAATGTTCAGTGTAAACAAACTTACAACTTAAGAATGACTTTATCTCTCTGCACTTAATTTGACTCCATTAACTTCAGCACAACTAATTCATCCTTAGTTATCCCTGTGCTGACACTAAATGTAGGTCTCCCGAAGTTTTATACATGCTCACAATCAGGTAGTTCGTATAAAACCTCTCCAGATAAGCTGCGTAAGACGAAAAACCTTTAACCGACTGTAAAATATAGTATTTAAGGACTGCAGTCTGCCCCTCCCCATACACAGTCGCTTCGGTAATGTTTCCTCGAAACAAGAAATTAACTTAACAGAAAAATTAGCAAATTAAAGAACTCACGCCGAAATCATAAATAGGCCCGTAATGTAAACAGAGATGAAACCTTACGCACATGGGGTACATCCAAGGGAGACGGCTACCTTCACTCTTATCCACACACACACCCATTGGTTAGGCCTTGGCTGCCGCCCTTCGCCAACAGCAGACACGCTGCAGAACATGCGACATCCACGGTACTGACATACAACTAAGCTACAAACTGCGATTTTATTTTCAGAATTTTCCCAAATAGCTAATGCATTTTTCAGCAAAGAGCGGACCACGCATTAAGAGATTCTTGTTCCTTTTCCGCCCTAAGACCAGTAAAGAGCAGCTGGGCCGCTGCAGCCCCTCCCTCCTCTTTCCCTGCTTTCTATACAGGGCCCCCACGTGATCCAGGCGGACGTTTCAATACTGCTGCACGGAGACACACACAAAAAATATTTCTGGAAACTTCCACTCCTAATAATTCAGAGATAATGCTCATTCTTTTCTCTATCCAGTCCCAGTCTCCCGCCTTGTCCTTCATCTACCTATAAGAAAAGGTCCTCCTTTCATCTCCCGCCAGGCCCTTCTCTTTCCCGCTTACGTTTTACTATCCAGCTCCAGTTTCCTAACCTACACTTGCTGCTTTGCTCCATTCTCTCCGCCATGCTCCACGGATGGCCTAGGTTGCTGGAACCTCCTACACTTTCCTTCCCTGTCTGATTACTTTTATTTCTGATTTCCCAAGCACCACATCCCTTCTTTGAACTTCGTCTTGCTCCAAAGCTGGCATCCACTCAAGCCCTATGTCTCTTTGCGATACACGCCCCTTTCTCTTTCTGCTTTCCATGTGGCTGCAAACACAAGTCTTCAAGAATGACCCTCTCATATCTCTATATTATGAAAAAGCTTCGTACTACACCATACGCATACTTCGCGCCCCCCCCTTTTTGTTTTCCTTGGAAACGACAAGATCATTTACACACAGTTTATACGGTTTAGGCCTTGGGATTGACAACCATTACTTCAAATAAAAGCTAAAAAGCATTTGAGAATTGTTAAGCATAAAGCAATCTTTCTAGTACATCTTTTCATATCTGCCCCTTTCCACAAAAGTTCCAGTTGATTTCTCCAAGGGTTGCTTTCCTATATACCCCAACTTTCTCCATCAGACCGTCCTTTCCCTCCCCTTCCAATTTAATGCCCCATACATGTGTTTCCATTAATTGAAAGCTCTCACTTACCTAATTGAGTATCACAACTACTTCTTCTAGAGAGGCAAGTAGTGGAGAGGAGCAGTTAAAAAAAAAAAAAAAAGAAATCCAAGCAAAGCCAAAAAGCACGAGGAGGAGGAGTGAAGAGATCTGTCCAGCCTTCCTTCCTTTTCAACTCCCCGCAACACAGATACAAAAGGAAGGTATCTTTCTCTTTTCATACGCAGTCCAAAAGTCATTCAAACCCACCCACCCCTCCCCCCAGCTCTCCGACTTACTAGCAAATGGGGATGGAAAGAAAGGTGAATTACAAAAAAGGGGCCGAGAGGGCAATAACACACAAATCACTTTCTGTTTCTTAAACTCAAAGTTACAAATTCGCCCATACAAAAAAACAGGGCTTGACCGTCCATTCAAATGTGCACCCAAGATTCACCCCCTTTTCCAACCACCCCGAAAAAGACACACGGGGGGTGCGATTTGATTCGAGGCACGTCTTCCAGGCAAGAAGCAACTCTCTATCGGTTTCCCTCTCCCGCCCTTTCCTTAAAGCCTTAAGTTGTAGGGGGCGTTCCTAAACCCCCTTCACATAAACAATACTTTTCATTTATTAAAACACAGTGATTTTAAGAACCCTCCTTCACTGCCTTATACAGGTATACAGCCACGCTGAACACTGAAGTTGAGGGAGATCTGCCAATTTGGGGGAGGGTTCAGGGGCCTACAACACACCCACACCACGCTCCTTCCCACTCCAAAATTAAATAGGTGGGGAGGCTATAAAATGCTCACTTAGGTGACCCCCACGCCTGTTTGGGAGTCTCTAAATAGATTTTTAAAAACTCAGAAGCACTTTTCACCACCCCGCTCTCGGGAGTCAGTCAGACGGTCAGTCTCTGGCTGGGCTGCCTCCCCCTTTCTTTCCTCACGCTCCCACAACGCACGGGCTGCTTTTCCCTCAGTTCGCTTCCATACCTAGCCCCGTCCCTTCTCTCTATTTTAAACCCCTCTGCTTCTCCTCCTGCCAATCCACTCCTGCGCTTAATGAACCCCGCTCTGCTTCCTCGCACACGCGCGCCCTCCGGCAGTTCCTCCTCCCTCGCTCGCCCGCCCCTCCCCACACGGTAAAGGCGGCAAAGGAGCCGAGTGCGTGGGGCGACTGCTTTTCTTTCTCTCGGACACAATCCCCCCTCGCTCTCACTCGCTCTTTCGTTTCCCCCCCGGCTCTTGCTTTCCTTCGTTGCTGGTGCTTCTCCTTCCGCTCTTCCCGCTCCTCCTCCTCTAGTGCCACAGACTCGGAACCGGCTCAAACCGGTTCAGACTGGGAGATTCCATCTCGGTTTAGTTTTCAGCCCATGGCGCCTCCGAGCGTGCGGGAGGGGCGGGGGAAAACCTCCACCCCAAGCCGCCCTGTCTTTCTATTGGCTCCAGGAGATGACGGAAAGAAGAGGAGGAGGGAGCTTCAAAGTGGAGGGGGATCCGCATATACACACACACTACCTAGCGCGGGTTACAGGCAAATAATAGATCTCTACGTTTCATTGGTTAGCCAGGACGTCCATCTTGCTTACACTACCCCTTTCGAACGCGCGGAGTTCTCGTGGAGGAAGCCTAGCTCTTTTTTTCCTTGCTCTTATTCTCTCTGCAGAAGGAGATACAGTACAGTAGTGGAGAAGAGTGAATGTACTAAAGTGCAAGAGGGAAGGAGGAATAGACGCTTTTTGATTGGAGCAGAGGGACCGTCTCTCTTATTGTCGTCCCGCCCATCCCCACCCCTATTTCTTCCCGCCTCGACCTTCTTTTCTCGTGCCCCAATGTCTTCAAATAGCATTCACGCGGACTGGTTCTATACTTAAGGCTTACCTCTGATTGGGTGGCTGCTTTAGATGACGTCAGGAGGCGAGCTCGAGGCGAAGGAAACCGTTTACGGCAGAGCTCGGGGCGTCGTAATTGAATCGTGAGCGCAGGACGCTGAGGGGAAAGGAGGTGTTGATCTGGCGATGTGTAGAGATGAGAAGAAGGTGGCTTTAGGAAGGAGGGCTGGCTCCGCATAGTGAAGAGAAGGAGATGGTTCTTACGGAAATTCTTGGTTCTTATGGAAATTAAGATAACCATGGAGTGTTCCTTTCTTTCTGAAAGAGTTGGCACGTTGATCTACCAAACCGTAGCGGCTTCTTGCGACACTTACGGTGTTAATCAGTTTATACCATAGTAAGTGTGTTAGCCGGAAAGTGCAGTAGGACTTCGGTTTTTTGTATTTATCCTTGAAAACAAGGGAACAGTTTTCTCAACTGGTACTCTCCAGGCGAATTGGATTACAGCCCTGTCATGACTGGTTTATCGGGAATTTAGCACGCGAAGTTTGCCACATCTATATATTTTATATTTTATTTTAGTTGTTAGAATTATATCTCACCTTTCCTTCAAGTGGTCCTCTACTGCTCCTTTTCCCCATTTAGCTTGGTCTCACATGTATGTTTAAAAAAATTAAACGTAAACTATTTCTTACACAAATAGAACTTTCAAATAAGTTAACTATATTAATAAACGGTAGTACAGAATAATACTTTGCTCAGTGATTCCTTCTAAACTAATATCTGATTATAGATTACTGGGTGCATTAGAAGTATATAAATTAGTACCACCTAGTGTATATTCAATAAAGTTATACCAAACTCTTAGAAAATTACCTTCAGCTATATATACCAAGTCTTACTTTTTTACCCTATCAACTTCTCCATTATGGCAGTATTTGCCAACATTGTAGAATCCAAACTGACTTTGAAAGGTTATGTCTTGTCCCATATGTGATCTATAAATTAGCAACCACTCAGAAAACTAGTATCAATTCTTTATGCAACTTTTTTGTTTCTTAAAATGCTGATAATAAGGTTAACCTAGGGTCTAATGCAATATCCCTATTTCAATTAGGACTTTTTTTTTTTTTTACAAAACCTTTGAATTTTGCACAAGACCTGCATGTGTAAATATGTTCTAATTCTCTTACATTTTTGCCAACACTTTGGCCTTGCTCCCGCTATTATTAAATATCCTCCTAGGAGTTAAGCACCATCTATGTAGAAACTTCAGTGAACTTTTCCTGATTTTAGTTGATATTGCTTTAAATGGGGTTTTGCCAATGCAGAAATCCAAAAATTACTATGAAAATTAATATTTAAATTAATTTTCCAATCTATTTTAAATCACCTAGAATACCTGTAGGTGCATCAAGTAAAATCTTGTAATTATTAGAGATTTTATCCATTTTTTTCTGAGGTTTTTTTTGGAGGAGGAGTGCTTTTGATCTAGTAAGTGTCTTTAGTTTTTGTTCTTTGATGGATAGTCACTACAACATGTAAAAATCTGATATATCTTCATCCAAGATAATAAATATTGCCTTGCTGTTTTATGTCTTTTCCTGATGATGGATAAAGTCTGAAAAGAGAGACTCAAATTCTCTAATCCTTTTCTATTCCAATTCTTAAAATAAATTCGTTTACTGAAAAAAGAAGAATGGAATAAAAAAAAATGTGACTACTAAAATAAATTACTTTGTTATCGCTTCCAAACTGCAAATATGCTATACAAAAAAGGGATTTGATATTTTACCTAATTCTTTTTGAATAGCTAGAAACTAGTAATACTCCAACTTCATCTATTTCAAATTATTTTCATTCTGAAGCCAATTTGGAAAATGTTCAATAATATTGTTCAGTCATATTGCATTGTGGTAACATTGTAATTTGGGAACACTTTTTCCTCCCTTACATGCATTGTTATTTATAATATTTTAACCTGTGCCCTTAAACCTGTATGTATATTACTATTAAGCATCTTTGCTATTTCTAGATAATTACTTTAGTGAGAGTCAGAGAGTGGGTTTTAATTTTTTTTTAAATGTGATAAAATAGACATGTTTGAGGTAATAGCCAGGATAGTTTTAACGATTTCCATAAGTGAACCTTTTGAGTGATACTCCTAATAAATAGTTTAACATTGGAAAAATATAGCTTCTATATTGCTTTGTTATATTAATTACAGTTTTATCAAAAGTTCATAGTACAGGTGGTCCCTGGGTTAAGAATGCCCAGGTTACAGACAACCCATAGTTAAGAATGGAGCCTATTATAGCAAACTTTGAGTTAAATATACAATGATTTGAGTTAAATACACAATGGTTTGAGTTCATTACATAATACTATCTATACAGTATTGTACAATAATACTTTTCCAACTTACATACAAATTCTACTTAAGGACAGACCTTGGGAATGGAACTTGTTCTTAAACTGGGGACTACCTGTATTTTTGCTTAGTATAGATAGTCCTTGTTTAGCAACCGCAACTGATTCCAATTAATGGAATGGTCATTAAGCAACATGGTCACTAAGCGAACCATGTGACTCAGAGAGACAGAGGGAGACACTGTGAAGATCGAAGATCGCTGGTTGGACAGTTACAAGAGAAAAGAATGACCCATAAGAAGGGTGCTCCAGAGTAAAAACAAACCCAAGGCTGCCTGGCTTGTATTGCATCACTTGATTACTAAAGTGTGTGGCTGATTTACCTTCTCAGTTCCTTTAATAAACTGTTCTGGAACTTAAAAAAAAGGTCTCTGGTTGCTGCTGGCTCATTTAGATAAAGTTCTATCATGCAGGAATGCCAGTGTTACTCTCACTCTGCTGTGTGTTGTTATCAGGCACAGAAATTTGGGTGTAAGTATGCGCACTGGTTGGAAAATTATTTTTTTACTATCATTTACTATCGTTTATTACTGTCATATTTGCAAATGGTCGCTATCTGAGGTAGTTGCTAAATGAGAACTATCTGTAAATTAAAGGTTAAGATAATTTATATGTCTGTTTTGAAGTTGTCATTTTTGCTACCAATTGCCTATAAAATTTGTTACTACCAGTTGACATTTGTTTACTTTCCAGATTTGAAATTTTATTCAAATGTTGTAATTTTTGTTTTAGTATGCCTTCTTTTACCTCTGCTGCCTTTGCCTTTAGGTGGGTGGACTCAGTTACAATGGCAATGAGTGGCCCATCGGGAGACTTAAAAGAACAGGTTAGCAATAGATTGTCATGGAGAAAATCCATGTGGTCGCTAGGAGTCGAAAATGACTTGATGGCACATAATCAAGCCTTTACCTTTATGTATAATGCTTTCATTGCATCTCAGACCATGGCATTATTTATTTAGATTTCAAATTTAGTCACTATCCATCTCACTCAGAGTGACTCTGGGCAGTTTACAATAAAATAAGAATAAAAACCAATTAAAATACAATAAAAACAGTGTTCATAAATAAATAATATATTCCAAGGAATTGATGATATATAATAAGTTACCGACCTATGGGAGTGTCTTCAGGGTGCCAACCACCCCCAGGGTTGGTTACCCCTCCTCAAGTGCCACGCAAGCTAGTCGAGCCAGGTCTTCATCCCTTTCTGGAAGGCCAGGAGAATGGGGGTTGGCCTAACCTCTGTGGGGGGGAGTACTCCATAGAGTGAGAGCAATGGCAAAAAAGGCCCTCTTTCTGGACCCCGCTAGTCAACATTCTTTAATTGATGGGGTCCGTAACATACCTTCCCTGCCTGACCGGGTGGGATAGGTCGATGTAATGGGGATAAGATGGTCCCTCAGCCTGGTCCCATGCCATATAGGGTTTTAAAGGTAATGACCAGCACCTTGAATTGAACCTGGAAGCAAACTGGGACCCAGTGCAGCTCCCATAGCAAAGGTGTTACATGTGCCATCCTTGGGGTACCCAAAATTGCCCATGCGCTGCATTCTGAACCAGCCATAGCTTCCGGATACTTTTCAAGGGTAGCCCCGTGTAGACCACATTGAAATAGTCTATATGGGAGATGACTAGGGCATGAGTGACTGACCGGAGGGCTTCCTGATCCAGGAAAGGGCATAACTGGTTCACAAAGCAAAGTTGAGCAAAGGCCCTCCTGGCCACGACTGCCACTTGCTCCTTGAGCAGGAGTCGTGAGTCCAGGAGGACCCCAGATTCTGCACTGGGTCTAGTCTGGGGCAGTGCAACCCCATCCAGAACCAAAGATGGTAAACTCCCAGATACAGAAGAGCCCCCAACCCTTAGCACTCCATCTTATCAGGATTCAGATGAAGCCTGCTATTCCCCATCCAGGCCCCCACAGCCTCCAGGCGCTGTGAAAGGGTGGCCATAGTATCACTTAAATCACCTGGGATGGAGATGTATAATTGGGTATCATCTGCATATTGATGATATCCCATGGTGACAGATGATCTCACCCAGTGATTTCATGTAGATGTTAAAAAGGAGCGGGGAGAGTACTGAGCACTGCGGTACCCCACAAAGGAGGGGCCACAGGTTGGACCTCTCCCTATCAACACCGATTG